CATATTGCAAGGGTCGTTCACTGCTCTATACCATGAACACAGCGTGTGTGACACTGCAGCAAAATTCCATGCCTAGTCTGCTTTCAGATCATCTCACAGGCCTTCAGGAAGCACAAGCAGAGGGAGAGGGGTGGTGTACAAAGGGTCCAGGAACGAGAAGGGGCCTGGCCAGTGGCAGGCAGGCAGGGTGTAGGCTGGGGGCACCACAGAAAGCTGTGCTGTGGGTCTGGGGTGGGGGATGGGGCTTGCAGACTGCCGTCCCTCACCTCTCTGAAGCAGCTGAAGGAGCCAGGGACCAACAACTATTGAAGGCTATGGTAGATGTCATACTGGGCAGCAGATGAAGGTTAAGAGTTAGGAAATGTTCTCATTTGAGAGCTCTTGGGCCCCATCTCCAGCCAATTTTTCATGGTTGCCATTCCTCAGAAATGCTCTTGAAGAAGGTGCCCCCAGGGGGCAGCACTGTCTGATCCTGCCTTGGTGACAGGTGGAGAGCCACGTGTCACCAGGTGGGAGTAGAGGTGAGTCAACGGTTATTGCTTCATGGCATGTAGGCTGAGCCCTCTATAGCCCTTTAGGGCATGGCCTGCTCCCTGGGGCCACAGGGGTGAGCTTGGGAAGAGGGGTGTGTGAAGTGTGGTTTTGTGCAAAAACCAAGCACATGCTCAGCACTCTCGTGCTGGCTAAAGAAGCCTTGCCGTGAATTTTGAAGGTCAGTCCCTGCTCTTCCCCATCTTCCATAATTTCACACATTGTGTTTGGTTAAATTCCCAGTACTGCTCACAGGAGACCATTATTACTGGGCTCCCAGTGTCTGCTGGGTGGCTGGTGCCTAAATCCTGAAGGTCCAGATAAGACGCTCAAATCCTCCAGTGGCTCGGCAGGCAACCTGGTGTAGACTAAAGGAAATGGGTTGCATTCCACCAGGTATTTAGGGTCTTGTAGTCTCACCTTGAGGATAAATACTATGTATTTCCCCCTTGATTCTTTTAAGCCCCTCTGTTCTATATGATCTCTATGATTTTGGAGAGAAATCAAGGCAGCTAATGACTTTCTTGAACAAAACTGCTTTGTCCTGTGCCAATCTGGGAGCAAATAGTATAGGATCTGACCCGATGAATGACTTTTCACTTGTACCCCAAAGCAAGGAAGCAGTATGCAAAGGCCCCTGGGGGAGCTGGTGTGATTAGATGAGTTGCCCATTGAATTGTAGGAGTGGTTCATGAGCAGGAGGCTCCAGGCATAGGAAGGAAATGGGAAAGGCAGAGCACAAAGCGAAGATGGAGGGACGTAGCTCAGCCCTTTAGGGCTTGGCTGAGATGGCAAAGTCTCTATTCCTGTCCTACAGTTTCTCTCTGATCATAATGGACTTCTCTGACAGTTCTGAGTTCTCTCTAGTTTTGGTCATCAAACTCCAAAGGGCTGTGAGTTAGGGCTTCGGGGTGTGATTTGAGCAGCAAGGGACTGTTGTCCAGGGGTTATGATTGCCCTTGAAGTGGGATCTGTGGTCCTGGGTGGGGAGAGATGGCAAAGGACTTCATGTCAGCATCATTGTCATCCTACTTCACCCGTCTGGTGTCTTAGTTTGGAGTGCACATTCCGGGGGTTGCTGGGTGTGAGGAAGAGGAGGATGTGAGGTAGATTGGTGGATGTGTAGGAGAGAGTTGGGAGCAGTATCAGTGCTCCTGGAGGCTGGCTTTTGAAGAGGAGGATAGGGGAGCGAGCTGTGGAATGTGATAACGAAGAGGGTGCAGCAGCCATGGTATTTGAATGAAACACACTGTGGAAATGAATTGGATTACTTTATAAGCCCCTTGTAGAAAAATATATCCATCATGACTCTGTTTTGCAACTCAGTTCTGAAATCTCCATCAGTTCACAGGTTATTTGGTCAACAGAAAGGAAGTGGGACCACACGAAGCCAGCTCCCGGCGGCTTTCCTCTGTGAAGACTCAGCTGTTACAATTCCCTAGGGTGGCAGGCGGTTGCTTTATCTGGGCTTGAGAGCTGTCCTCCAGGACACTAACCTGGAGCTGGGAGGCAGAGATGGGGGTGGGAATCGCAGGGACTGAGCTTCTGTCTCCTGTGTTGCCATCTCTAGGTTATAGAATCTGAAGCTTGGTATGGGTGTGGCCCCCGCCTAGACTGTACAGGGCTCTTCCAGCTACCTCTGCAGGCTTGGGGAAAATAGCAGGATCTTGGAATGACTTGAATGAATACTTAAGAAGGGAGCCTGGGCCAGCCCCAGGCAGGACTTTCTGGTTCAGTGTTACGGGGCTGGGATGATGGCATTGGCCTCACTGTGTGTGATTCACACCCAACCTTCCTTGTGCAGAAGTCCATGCAGGCTTCTAGGAGCAGACAATTCCTCTTCCAACTATCAGTCCGTGAATGGCTGGGCGGGCTTTTGGACCCAGTACCTCCATGTACGGTCTTCCTCACTTGGGCAGAAGGAGAATGAGGGTATTATTTCAAACCTTTAACATCACTATAGGTTTATTTGTGTGTTTGTTAGTCTGAAAAAAAGTATCTACGTTGAATTTTTCTGCAATGAATTTTATTTAAAAAACCAGTAATTTTGAAATAGTTCATTATGTGAGTGACTTTTGGGGTGACTCTTGGTAAAACAAATATTCCTTTAATATAAGTATTAGTAGATAGCTGATGATTCGTGTTCGTGAGAAGGATCTTGGCTGTTGTGATGACTTCATATCACAGTGGCTTTCAGACTGTGTTCCGTGAAATTCCGCTGGGGCTGAAGTGTGAGAGGAAGAGGCAGGTGGAGTCCTGGCCAGCCTTTCAGTTGGCTGCACTGCTGAAAAAACATGGGCTTTCCTGCCTTTGTGAATTTGCAAATTTCACAATTTTCAGGGCTGTGATTCCCTTCTCCTATTTAATTGTATCTGAAATGCTGGCAGCAAGACCTAAACCGCTATCTCCAGCTTTGTAACTACACAGTGATGACAATGAGAGGCTGATAAGCTTTCCACACTTGAAAGTGGAAGGAATAGTGGAAAAGGAACAGTTGCCGCTGAAGTCACTCCCAGTGAAAAAGGCCAGTTGCAGCTGGACTGGTCTCTTACTCAGGATCCCTGTAGCACAGAGGGGCTGGTGCTCTGGCCTGGCAGTTGGTGGGTCCTCCTTCATGTAGACTCAGAGACTTTCTTTTCCTTCCAGGGGCTGCCACAACTCAGAAGGTCTTCCCAAAGGAAGAAACTTGTGAAAGTTGGAAAATTTCAGTGACAGACGTGCAGGTAAATGTGTCAAGAGATTGAAGCAGGAATAATAAAAAAAAAAAGGTGAGATGTGTTTTCTATCCATCCCAGTTATTGTAAAACTAAATAATTAGGTTTTGGGGTCAGTTTCTTCAAATATCTACATATTTTATCTTAAAAAATCTGTGAATGTATATGTCTAGGCACACTCCTAGGAGTTTTTGGGGACAAGAGTATGGTGGACTAAGATGCATGAGACATACCAGAGGACTGGCTGATACCAGAAGCTCTGTGAGGGGGCTGGGTTGGGCAGTTAGGTGGGAATGAGATGCTGTATTTCCAGTGAGACAGGGTCTATGTCTCTCCTTCTCTGAAAGAGGCCATTTCTCAGCAGCCCAGGAAAATCAGGGCCATGTTGGCAGGAGAAGGCATCTAAACTGATGTGTCTGTGATGGAACCACACCCCTTCCGACTTCAGGTGGCTAGAAAAATGACCATTCAAACCCGCCGATGTGCATGAGAAGAAAGGTATTTTGAGAGCCCAAGGGAGCCTCTTCCTTGCTGAGATTCTTTGATACGGGGTTGTCAGAGGGCTGTTGGGTTGTACTTCTTTGATTGCCCTGGAGAGCCCACCACATTTGGGAGTACTGTGGCAGTGGCCTCCCACATCCTTGTGTGTTCTTGGGGAAATGGGGACCTGTGTGTAAGGAACACTGAAATGTGCTGTCTGTGCTGTGTGGATGCGGGGACTTGGGTGCGAGCTCAGTGCGAGGGCCACAGGCAGAAGACAGTGGGGTTTTAAAGGGGCAGCCTCAGGAACCTGCCTGGACCCCACTTGAATCCTTGGGGGACGGGTAGCGGTTTCTGCATTGAGCCTGGAGGCCGTTGTTCTACAGGCACGTTTCCAGACAAACCTGGTCAGCCCTGAATCTGGGGTACTGGACAGACTAATACATGTCCCCCTTGAGTGGTGATAAGCAGGCACACAGGGTTTGTCTTGGTCTCTTGGAGTCCCAACCCAGAACAGAGCCTTTACCAGTGTGGTGGTCTGATCTGCACTTGGGGGTGTCCGTGATGTAGAGGACCCCAGTCCCCTTGATGGCCACCGTCTTCTTTCTGGCTGTTGGGTGTGGGGTGGTGCCTCTCAGAGACGTGGCCTAAGGCAGGGAAGAATACAGCTGGACCTGGGAGAGCATCTTTCTGCTTACTAGCATTTGAGATTATAAAAAATTAGTTTTTAATCAAAATTTCCAAAATAAAGTGAGTGATTTCCCCATCCCCAAGATGCAATAAGTCTTGTTGGCTCTCCCTCAGGCTTACAACAAGTCAAATGGAAAGAAAAGCGAGAAGCAGCTGCAAAGGAGAAAATGAGGTCCAGAGCGAGAATGGATGAGGCTCTCGGGCCAGGAGGGAGGGCCCTGCTCCTGGGAGTCCCCGGCTTCAGGCCACTCCAGCAGGGTGAAGTCTGGACAGACCCGGTGTTAAAGAATGAGGATGCAAAGGCAACTGACAGGAGCATCCGCCTGGAAAGCTGGAGCTCCTGGTTCCAGGGTGGCCCAGGTAACGTGAGGCATAGCTGGGCGCAGGAATGATTCCTTTACATGGCAGCAGGTTCTTATCGCAGCTCAAGGCAGAAATCCTACATCCTAAAACCCACCCGATCTCGTTAGCAGCGCATACCTTATACTAGGAAACTTGCAAGGAGACCAGTGTTGAACCACAAAGCGAATACAGGTTTTTTGCTTTTGTCTGTAAAAATGTACAGAGTGCCTGCTTGGGACTGCTTCATACCTCGCCCACCCACACCACCGTGGTCCCCCCCTTCACGCCTGCCACCTCGCACCGCAGTGCGTTCTGTCTCCCGTTGATGAGGAACAGCGACTCCCGGGTGGGCGTGAGGAGGTACTGCCCGAACAGCCCGCTGTCCCTCACGATCCTGCGGGGCCCTCCCCAGGCCCGGGCCGGCCCTGTGGGCGCGGGCTCCTTCAGGCCCTTCAGCATGCCCGTCTTGCCCGTGGACAGCTCCAGGAACAGCAGGTCTGGCTCTGTCTCAAGTGTGGCGTAGACATGGTACTGGTCTCCCTGGGTGAAGGAGCGTTGGAAGGCCACATCTGAGACACCCGGGCTCACTTTCAGGTCATAGAGGGTTTGGATCTCCCCCCGCAGTGAGATCTCCTGCACGTGCAGCTGGGGGCTGCCCGGGGCGGCGCTGACTACAAAGCGCCCATCCGGGGATGTGTGCGGGGTGCCAGTGACCTGGCCATTGGGTCCGACCACCGCGTCTGTGACGCTATCGATCAGCAGCTGCGGGGGGGCCTCAGAAGAGCTGTCCTGCCGGCACTGGACAAAGAAGTAGCCACCCAGGTGGGTGTGGGCCATGGCCTGCGGCAGGCAGCCGTGGCTCTGCAGCTTGATGGTCTTGAGGGGCATCAGTGTTTCCAGGTCGACTTTGTGGATGGCAAGGTCAGACTTGTTGAAGATGAAGCCGAACCTGGGAGGGGATAAAGACTGAGGTCAGAAGGCGGGAGGGTTAGGGATCTGTCATTTGTCTTAAAAGATGGCATCCTTTCCCTTGTCCTCTATCCTTTGCCGATCTAATACCTGTTAATAAGATCTCCTATTTTGCAGGAGATGGTTTCATAAGTGAGCCATTTGTGATCTCAAACCAAGTGCACTTGAGTTACAGAATGTTCCTGGATTTATGCTCTTATAACATGCACACATCTTTAGAAATGGTGAAGGAGTGGAATTAAGCCTTCAGCAGCTCCTCCGTCAGGGGTGTCTTTGATTCGGCTTCCCAGAGACCTTGTGCCAGCTGAGAAGTGGTGGGCCCGTGGCTGGAGGGAAAGGACAAGAGGTGTCTGCCCTGACTCTGCCTGCTAGGAGGACAGGGCAGGTGAGCCTATTTCTGAGTGGTTTTGTGGACTAACGGGTGAGTCAGAACCTGGGGATGCAGATACAAGAGAACAAGGACAGATGTCTTATCCACGTTCCCTGACCCTCGGAGAGGAACATGAGGGCAGCCTCTCCCTTGGCTACACTGACAATGCTGGTCAGAGGAACCCTGGGCTGGGGCTGAGAACAGCTTTTACCTTTACAGCCAGATGGCCTGGCGCTCCCGTGGTGCCTGCTAGCTGCAGAGCCTGGGGCAAGCTGCTGAACCCCTCTGAGCCTCTACAAATTGAAAGAGGGTAGTTCCTTCTGACAGCCGTTGGGAGGATTAAATCTTAGAGTGGGCGCTTTACTGGAAGAGGTCAGTAGGTGGTGGTTGCTGCATCTGGACTTGGTGAAATTCCTCTTTGGAGGCTGGCTGTGAGCTGCAAAAGGGTCTGACTCCAGACAAGGCTCACTCTGATTACGAGAGTCTGCCTAAACCCCTTGCTTGCGGAGGCCTTTGGGTGTTTTGGACATCTACCAGAGTAGAGACAAATGTCTTCCACAATTTTCTCTTGAATAGCAAGCTATGTCTCAGAGACGGGAAAATACCCATGTGATGGCATCTTTAAAGCATCCTTAAAGAGCCAGAGCATGGGAAGAGCAGGAAAGAAAACCCCAGGCCGGTAGGAAGCTGTCATGGAAAAGTCACACACAGGCTCTGCAGTGCCTGAGTTTGCATGACTCCTGTCTGAATTCAGCTTCTTCTAGGTGGTTTACCATTTACAACCATCTTAGAGGCTCTTCCCTAGGTAGTCTCTGGAGTGAGGTGGGGAGGTCAGAAAGAGGTTATTTTCTCCCTTGGGCAAGGATATAAATGGGTGAGCCTTATTTTTACAAGTCCAGCTTCAGCTTGCAAAAATGATTCATTTCTTCCTGGAAAAAAGTACTTGATGTCAGAGTAAAGGAAGGCATAAACACTGCCACAAGACATTTGGGTCTCAATGACTTTATAAAAGGGCATGCTCAGCCTTCTGGCAGTGGTGCCTTGATGAAGTGTCAAGGTTCTCTGAAAGGAAGAGGGAAGGGCAGTGGCCAGGCTGGGATGAGGCTTGTAGTTGAGGCCACGGCTGTTATTACTAAGCTGTTCTTTTGGATGGTGACAAAGCAGGCACCCAGGAGGCCTTGTTTCCCTGTGGGCCCCCTGCATAGCTGTTCTGGGGCCTCCGAGAGGAGCCACAGGTTGTGGTTATTAGAGAATGAGGCCAAAGGGGGCACCGACAGGAGACCCGGTTTTTAAAAAAAATGTTTTTAATGTATTTTTAATTGGGGGATAATTGCTTTACAATGTTGTATTAGTTTCTGATATACAATAACATGAATCAGCTATCAGTATATATATATATCCTCTCCCTCTTCATCCTCCCTAGCCCTTCCTCATCCCCCTCTAGGTAATGTCATCACAGAGCACCAGGCTGAGCTCCTTGTGTGACACAACAACTTCTCCTTATCTATCTTAGATATCTAGGCTACCTTTTTTTTTCATTTATTTTTTTTTCCCATTTATTTTTATTAGTTGGAGGCTAATTACTTTACAACATTGCAGTGGTTTTTATCATACATTGAAATGAATTAGCCATGGATTTACATGTATTCCCCATCCCGGTCCCCCCTCCCACCTCCCTCTCCACCCGATCCCTCTGGGTCTTCCCAGTGCACCAGGCCCAAGCACTTGTCTCATGCACCCAACCTGGGCTGGTGATCTGTTTCACCCTAGATAATATACGTGTTTCGATGCTGTTCTCTTGAAACATCCCACCCTCGCCTTCTCCCAGAGTCCACAAGTCTGTTCTATACACCTGAGTCTCTTTTTCTGTTTTGCATATAGGGTTATTGTTACCATCTTTCTAAATTCCATATATATGTGTGAGTATACTGTATTGATGTTTTTCTCTCTGGCTTACTTCACTCTGTATAATGGGCTCCAGTTTCATCCATCTCATTAGAACTGATTCAAATGAATTCTTTTTAATGGCTGAGTAATATTCCATGGTGTATATGTACCACAGCTTCCTCATCCATTCGTCTGCTGATGGGCATCTAGGTTGCTTCCATGTCCTGGCTATTATAAACAGTGCTGTGATGAACATTGGGGTGCACGTGTCTTTTTCAGATCTGGTTTCCTCAATGTGTATGCCCAGAAGTGGGATTGCTGGGTCATATGGCAGTTCTATTTCCAGTTTTTTAAGAAATCTCCACACTGTTTTCCATAGTGGCTGTACTAGTTTGCATTCCCACCAACAGTGTAAGAGGGTTCCCTTTTCTCCACACCCTCTCCAGCATTTATTGCTTGTAGACTTTTGGATAGCATAGGCTACTATTTTACATGTGGTAATGTGTATATTTCAATGCCACTCCCTCAATTCATCCCCCACCTCCTTCCCCTTCTGTGGGAGACCCACATTTAGTCTGACTCTGCCAGTGCCTGACTGTGTGACTTCAGTTCTCTGAGCCTAAATTTCCTCATTCATAAAACAGGTTGGAGGACTACCTCTACTAGATTTTTTTTTTTTTTTTCAAACCTATAGCAAGGAGAGGGTATGCAGTCAACCACAGTTGTTTCCTTCTTTACTGTCCTAACCCAAGGATAAGACTTCCTGACCTCACTGGGCCCCTGAGGGCATTAGGAGCTGGGTGCCTTTCTTAACGTTAACAGTTAAGACAGGGATGGGGCTGTTTTTCTGTTCCTTCCTGATGTGGTCCAAAGAAGGAGTTGGGGAGAAAGAGAAAGGAGCAGGGCCTCCCCGGTGCAAAGCTTCCCCATAGAGGGCTGAGCTGGGTCATGGAGTAGTGTAGGGCTTGTGGGCCAGTCTCACCTGACATGGTTGATGATGAGGTTTGTTGGGGGAATGAAGAAGTCATCCACTCCGGCAAAGGGTGTGCGGATGAGGCGCTGTCCCTGGCCAGTGCTGGCCTCTGTGATCACCTATAACACAGAATGGGAGAAGTCCTTGTAAGGGTCCATCAGAGCGGAGGTGGGGTTGGAAACCTACAGACCCAGGCACACTCGGGTAGTGATCCTCTTTCTGGCTGGGAAAAGGGGGAGAAGGGTTTTAAGTAGTGAAATACGCAATGCTGGAGTTGACTGGTTCTGTATTTTCCCTTGACACCAGGTGCCTAGGCTGCTGTGTTGATAGTCTCCACCATATGCTGCTTGCAGAGGTGCTCTCTGAGCACTGTGAGTCCATAATTTAATAGAGAAAACAGGCATCTTTCAGAGATGCTAGCTGTGTCACTTAGAGTCGGTGATTAGGATGCAGGGGAGGGTTCCACTTTTACAAATGGGACTGGCTGTGAGCAGTGAAGAATTAGGCCCTGTGTTTTGTACAAATTGGTGGTGACAGAGCTCGGCTGCCTCTGTGTCCTGGGAGGAGCCACTTTCTCCCCTGTGGACCTGGCAGGAGGCAACTTGAGCAGTTCCTCGGTGTGTGTCCCTGCTGGGTCTGTGTGAGGGAAGCGTACCCTGGCAGTGCTGGACAGAACTGAGTGATGTCTGGGCTTAGACAGGATGGAGGCCCTGCTGGAAAGCCCCCTGTGGTCAGGCTGGGCTTTTGTCCACCAGCTGCTGAGACCTTGGCACAGGCAGGCTGGAAACACTGAGCCAGACAGCCTGTGTCCTCTTGCCTTCTGCATGTGCTCATCCGCCTCCAAGTTCTAGGTGATTCCCAGACAGGTGGCAGACCTGTAGCCAGATGAGGGGCTTGGCCAACCTGTGGGCAGTTTTGGCTGGAGGACCCAAAGGACAAGCCCAGACCCTCTTAGCAGGACAGAAGGCAGATGCGAGACTCTGACCAGGGAGGGGAGACACATTTTCTGATCTTTATATTGTGACCATGTATACAGACAGAAGGATTCAGATTTTTGCACCCTGGGGCTGAGGACAGTCTATGATGGGGCTTTGTGACTCACAGGGCTTAGAGCTCTAGATGCTTTAACCTTTGAAGAGTGGGACTGCCTCTGGCTCTTACTTTAATGACAAGACAAACAGCACCTGTCCTGCCTCCTCTGGCAGGTTTGAGGCTGGGGTTTTGGGGATGGTGCTTCCCTCCAGGGTTCAACAGGCAGAATGCTGGATTAGAATGATGTAGGCTGGGAATTTTAGTTTTAGGGCAGTCTTAAGTTCTAAAGTTAGGTTATTTTCCTGTAATTAAAAAGCTGGAATGACATTTCCATGCCAAGTCCATGGGAAAAAACTTAGAACTAGACATTAAGAAAATATCAGTATTAGGTCAACTTACTTAAAAAACAGACTTAGAAAGCAAACTTATAGTTGCCCCGGGGGATAGCTAGGGAGTTTGGGATGGTCATGTTCATACTGCTATATTTAAAATGGATAATCAATGAGGACCTACTATATAGCACATGGAAGTCTTCTGTTTATGTGCCAGCCTGGATGGGAGGGGGATTTGGGGGAGAGTGAATACATGTACATGTGTGGCTGAGTCCCTTTGCTGTTCACCTGAAACTACCACAACATTGTTAACTGGCTATACCCCGATACAAAGTAAAAAGTTTGAAAAAAAAAATCAATATTAGGAAACTTAGAATCTTAGAATGTCCAGGTGAAAATGCCGGAGAATTCCAAGAAACCATGCAATCATTGCTTGATATCAGGTCTGTCATTTTAGCTTATAATAGAGATGGAAAATTACAGGCTGTCAGCAGTCCGTGTCATTCATGCTTCACCACCCTAACACCCTGTATTCAGAGGTTGTTTCTTCAAAACCCAGTAGCATGAGCCATTGAACTGATATGGGCTAGTCAACCTCATTTCCCCAGTGAGTCACGAGTTCCTTCTTGGCCTGTGTCCCCAACACATGGCTGGGCATATTGGTGACTAAAAGATAGCTTTTGAGCTTCTCAAATTTGCTGGATCTATGGGCTTAGTTGGAGATGCAAGCAGGGCTGGATATCAGGAGATGTCAGTTGGTAGCATGGGGTAGGGAAGGCTGAGCATCTGTTCCAGAGGGGTGGATGAAGCCAGCTAAGAGGTGACATTTGGGGACGAGCAGGGAGCCAAAGTACTGATGCAGCTAAAAACTGGACCTGGATGTGGGTGGACAAGAGCATGATGGGCAAAATTCGCAACATGCCAAAGATTTAAACACTGGCTCCTGGGGGAGGGCCTTGGTGCAACAAGCCTCATTGATAGAACCACTTTCATTTTGTCATAGCGAAGTTTGTTTAACCAGTCCCTTAGTGTTAGATATTTAGAAACCTTAGGATAGTATTCTGAATGTTTTGCAAATATAAATAATGCTGTAACAAATAGTGCTGTAACTAAATCTTTGTGCCCGTCCTTGATCATGGCCTCTGGATAAGTTCTGAGGGGTCATGTTGCTGGATTGAGGCTTTTGGTTCACATTTCTAAATTGCTCACCACAAAGGCTCTGCCTTTTGTCATTTCCAGGAGCAGTTTTTGCAAGCAGTGGTTTCCGGAATGATGAAGGCAGGTTTATTTAGTTTATTTCATTTTCTTGTCAGAGTGTATTTCTCAGACTTTCTAATTATGGTGATGGTGGGCATCATGGTCTAATTCTTGATATTAATTAAAATGCTCTTAATGTTTTGTCATTTAGGCAATATTTGCTCTTGGTTTCTGGGAAAGTCTTCATTATGTTTATGTCTTCTATTCCTATTTTTAGTTTTTTTTTTTAAATTAAAAATGTCTGCTGTATTTAGTTAAATGCCATTCCAGCATTCATTGAAAATATTATAGTATATTCTGTTTTAATTTGTGGTATGAGTAATATTGACTGATTTCCTAAGAGTGAGCCATTATTACATCCTGGGAATTTGTTCCCTACTCAAGCAGTTAGACGCATTGTTGGACTCTATTTTTAATACCATGTTGAATTTTGCTTCTGTCTTTGTGAGATTAGTTGATAGTTTTATTTTTTAATACTAAGGAGCTGTACATTTCCCCCACATGGTCTGAGATAGTTCAAATGATACTAAAACTATCTGCATTTGAAAGGTTTGTTACAACTTGGCTGTACCAAAAGCTCCTCTTTTGCTCAGTTCCGATTATTAATACTATGCTCAGCCTCTCTCACAAAGGTAATGCTATCACTGAATACAAGTGGTCTGAGAAATAAGATTAAATGATCAACTTAAAGTTTTCATAAATGACAAGATTATGGTCCCCAAAGCATTTGCCTTACCAATTTTATATGCTTCATTTATCAGTTATTACATTTTAAGCAACTAGCACTAAAATGTATTTGTTTCTAGGATCAATATTAATTAATTAATTAGCCAACTTCAATGTATTTTAATATGTTCTGAAAAATCTCCACTCATGACTTGCCTTTTTCTGAATACATATGTCTTAGTGTTCTTGCCTAGGTATTAATCTAATTGTTAAACAATGCATCAGAAACTTGGCTGTACATTTTTCTATGGTAGATTTTTAATCTTAAAAAAAAACCCTCTGGTAATTGTTCTACTTCAGGTTTTCCTTTTCTCAGGTCAGTTTTTTAAATTACTTATTAAAGTATAGTTGACTTATGTTAATTTCTGTGGTACAGCACAGAGACTCAGTTATACATATATATATACACACACACATAATTCTTTTTTATATTTATATAAATTTTTTTTTTGTTATGGTTTTGTCCCAGGACATTGACTATAAGTTCCCTGTGCTATACAGTGGGACCTTGTCCATCCATTCTATATGTAATAATTTGCATCTGCTAACCCCAAGTCTGTTCTGTCAGTCTCTTTCTGCTTCACAGAGAAGTTCAGTTGTGTCATTGTTTAGATTCCACATATAAGTGATGTCATATGATACTTTCTCTCTCTGACTAGATCAGTTTATTTTTTTCTGCATTTTGCAATCATCTGTTTTTTCTAGGTTTAAAAATTTCCACCTCAGAGTTGCAGTATGCTATTTTATAATTATTTTCATCTTCCTTCATCTGTAGTAATCTCTCTCTGCATTCTTCATTTTATGTTTTTTTCTTTATCAGGTTTATGAAGGATTTATTGTTTTTTGTTTTTTATTTCTACTAATTTTGGTCTTTCCTTCCTGCCAGTTACTTTGTTCTTTTTCTAATTTCTTAATACAAATATATTCTCTGCAGGTTTTAAGACACAAATATTCCCTTGTGTATGGTTTTCTCTCTATCCTGTAGGAGTCTCTTTTTCATTGCTTTCAGACACTTTGTAATTTCTCATTTTAATTTCCTCTTTGCTCCAGTAACAATCTAGGAGTGTTTCCTTATTAGGTAGTTCACATTTTAATTATTTCTAATTATCAGATAACGTAGCCTATAACACTGACTTTTGCAAAATTTGTTAAAATTTTGTGATTACTGATACATGTATATGTGGACATGTGAAAAAATTCTATTTGGCAGAAGAAAGGTTTTCTATATATTTATGAAACCGAGTTCCTTATTTATATTATTCACTTTCCCCATGTCATTATATTGTCTCCTTGGTATGTACAATTTAAGTGCATTTAAAATCAAGTTCTTCTTGTGTTTTTAATCACTCTTGTGTCATGTATTTAGCTGTTTGCTATCTGTTGGCTGTTTGTCTTCACATGATGTCTCTCCTTATGCTATTTAGTGCTTGTAACCTTAAATTTGACCTTGTCTGATATTAATATTACAGTCAAACATCTTTTCATCCACCTATCATCACTTTATATGCCTCTTGTAAACAAATTATAGCTAGTTTTCTCTCCCTCTTCCTTCCAAACCCAGTCTCATTATCTCTGCTTTTAATAGGAGAATCAGTTTGTCACGTTTGGAATAATTACATAGTTAACTATCTCAACTATTAATTTCAAAGAGCATTTTCTATATCCGCTTTTATCCCCATAAGATGACATGTTGGAATGTTTCTACCCCCTTCTCTTTCCTCTACTCCCTATCTTTACTTTTACTGAAATAATTTATCATCTTTAGAGTCTGGTATCAGAATATCTCTTTCAGTGCATCTCTCCTAATTCAAATACCCTTATTTAGCACTTACTATACAGTAGCCTCTCCTCATCCACCTTGTTTCAATTTTGGACCTTCCTCTAGATTTCTTACTTACTCTTGTCTCTTCTTTATCTTCCCCCATCTCGATGTCTCTGATCTGGCTCACCCGCTATTTTTCTGCTATCTTTCGTGATATGCTCTCTGAATTCTTGCATATGCTTAGGTCTTTCTTTTGTCCTGACAGGTAAATGATACCTTGGATATCGACCCTTTTCTTTTAGTAGCATGTGGACACAATGCCACAGTCTTTACTGTTGCAAGTGAGAAATCTGACTGTTCTTCTATAGGTGACTTGTTCTTTCTGCCTTGAAATATTTTCTTTATTCTTAGAAGTCCAGAGTTTTACCAGGAAGAGCAGAGATGTGTTCTTTCTCATGTTAATCTGGATCACTTTCAATCTACAAGATGTATTTTTTTAAATTGGAAATTTTATTCCAAATTTCATGTTTGACTCCATTCCAACTATTACTTTTTCTAAACTTCTTTTGACTTTGAAATGTCTTTTGAGACTTCATATCTTAATCTTATATTGTTCTGTGATTTGAGGATTTTCCTGCTCTTTATCTTTCAGGCTACTAATTTGAGTCTCAGTAGAAACCATGCATTTTTCAACTCATCTCCTGCAGTTCTAAATTAGGTAAACATTTTTGTTAATTTTTAGCTCTAGAAAAATATTTTCTGGTGGCCCCTCCCTTCGAATATCCTTACCTGTTTTCTTAGGGCTGCCAGAGAAACCAATTTTCTGAGCTTATACTCTGTTCTGAGTGACCTTATTCTGACCCCTAGGTCCTCTAATGAATTATCACTATTTGTCATCAGCTCGCTGGGGCCCAGGACGTGTTGATGATGTCCATTGAGGGGCAGTAGTCTTGGTGTGTAGGAGATGAAGTAGTGTCCTTCCCCTGGCCCAGGAGGGTGACCAGTCCCCAGGAGGAAGCTTCTGTAGACTGGATGTCCCCTGGCCTCTTACAAAGGTGAACTTGGCTCCATCTGCAGCCAAGTTACAATCCATTGTAAGTGCTGAGTTAGCTTCTAGGCATCTAGAATGGGTCTATGTACCATCATTGTGAGAATTGAGGGAACAGGTATTTAAATCACCTTTTGTGGGGCTTAATCCTCTCATGTACCTTGGTGAGAAAGGCTGAGCAAGACACACTCAACACAGGGTGGTGCTGACCTTCCCTGACTGGTGGAAGAAGGGATCCCACAGATGTGCTGGGCCCAAGCTCTTCCCAAGGGGGAGTTAGCACAGTGCAGTGGCTGAACTGCAGGGCTGAATGTATACCTAGGTTGGAGCAGGGGCCAATTACTGAAACTTCTTTTGCCCTAGCACTCCATGAGCACTCGGTAATGTGCTTTCATTTATGAACATAATTGCTACTGCTTTTCCTTCTGCTTTTCCTTTTCTTTTCCTTCTGCTTCCTTACTGTCTGGTGCCTGCTTTGGCAGTATTCTCCAGCCCATGCAGCCCAAGGTGGAGAAAGCCCTGTCTCCCTTCTCACTGCTTGGAGTCCAGAGGTTCATTCCTGCTTGGCCCCAGGAGCTCCTGGCTGAGAAGAGACAAGTGTTTGGGGGCTGGGCTAGGTGGGGCCCAAGAGCCACCTTCTGGTTGTCATGACATCAGAATCCCATCCACCATCAGTATTGCTGTCTTTAGCAGCAGGCCTGGCAGAAGATACTCTGCTAATTGCCTGTAAGGGGTGTGGTCCTGAGGCTGTTTCCTACTCTCTTTCATGGACATACTTTGGGTAAATGTGATTAGCTGTGGAGAGTGTCCTTTCCTGCGGGTGGGTGTTGTCCTCCATGTACCCAACATACCTGGAGGCTTGGCTGGGACTTGTGCACGTTCCCCCAGCTCAGGACCCACACTTGGTCATGTGATTTGTCATAGGACAACTTAGCCGGCAGAGGATCGACACCTATGGACTTAAAAAGAAAAAGTAGCGACAAGTTGATCATTGTTGTTGCAGAAAGTGATTCTTTTCCAGGCTACTCTATCCAGCCTAGCAGCCTGGATAATGAGCCCATTTGGGAACCCAGGGCAGAAACCTTTGTGGGTTTGTCTTCAGAGGCATAAAATTGGTTGTTAGTAATGTTTTCCTTTCTTACAAGTTTTACTTAAAGAAGACCCATACCATCTTGGCAAAAACATAAACACACTTTTTTTTTCCTGTTTTCCACTCACAAGTCAGCTTCAGGACCCTCCCATCACTTCTCCTGTAAGCCTTGGAGGCCTCCTGAACCCTCAGCATCCTTCCCAAGCTCTTCCACCTACATCATCTGAGACTGACTTGGAAAGGTTCCATTATCACATGTCCTTTAACCTTGTGCAGACTGTCTTGTACATCACTCACCTGGAACCTCCGGGACTTGGACTGTAGCATCAGGTGAGTCTTTTTCTACTGCTGAAACTCTGCTATTTTCTGAGAATAGAGCTTCCTCAGTCACCTGGAGACTGTTTTATACTTCTCTTAATGTAGTTTCTAAGTTCTAAAACACTGTTTGTGATGCCGCTGTGACCCCTGCTCTCTCAGCACTGACCTAGCCACTCTCTTTGTTCGCTAAAGATCCCTAGTTTGGTGCCTTCATTCAAAGCCCTGCTTTCTTAGTTCCTTCTTGGTTTCAGTGATCTTTTTCTCTTCCCTACTGCAGCCACCGTAACTTATTCCTTGTCAACAAATTTCTGAAAGTTCAATTTTAGTCTACCATATTCTAGCCTTTCTGATCTAGTCGGGGGGCATCTTTGTCCCCATTGGTTAAAACTTTTCTCAAGAAATGTCTATGGAGTCCCTGAAACCATTTAATTGTCTTCACCACTCCACTGAACTGTCATAGAGCTTAATGTCAAATTCAGAGATCACTTTTTGATCCTCTTCTAACTTGAATTTTCAGCATGGTTAACCATTCCCTTCCTCATCCTGACTTCTAAATGTTGGCATGTTCCACATCTTCCTCTTTGACCTTCTATCTATCTGCTTTCCCTGGATGAGCTCATTCAGCACATGGCTTCAAATAACCCCCTGTACTCTAGAATTCATTCCTCTGTTGAATGGCCACAACTTTATACAAACCTAAACTCTTCATTTCGCCCATCCCCGTTGACATCTATTTCTTCTCCAGTCACCCCCATCTTTGCAGTCTACTTTAACTTTCTTGATCAGATTAAAACCTGCCCTACCCTGAAGTCCTAAGTAGAGTTGTTTCTATTTTCCTACCTTCATATACCCTAGGTCCATTGTTCATGCTTCCAGCTGCTCCTCATTGTTCCTCTCTTCTGCCGGCTTCCTAGTCCTTTCCCTTACCAAAGGCTTCAGGATCCAGCGGCTGCCTTCTCCCCAGAGCTTCTTAACTCACCAGTCATGATACCATCCTCACTCTCTCTAGATTCTTGTACTTTTTCTCTCCTTTTAAAAACCCTCTTGATTACACATGCTCTTCCAGCTATCTTATTTGTCCACCCTCTTCACAAACTTCCCTGAAGTTTGGACTGCAGGCACTATCTCTCCATTCTGCCTAACCTTTTCCAATCATAGTTCATATTCTCACTCTGACTGAGGTGGTGTGGAGCAGGAGATTGAAAACCTAACCACCCCCCCACCCCAAATCTCTTAAATTCAGAGCAGAGCTTTCCACAATCTCTATATGCTAAGGAGCTAAGACATGGAAGGGAAAAGGTCCTGAAGAACAAACCAGGCTCTCAGTGTGAGGACCGGAAGGGTGACCTAGTAGAAGTGAATCAGAGGCTGACTAAGCTTTATAAAAGCTGCAGTTCAGCCTTGACTCAACACAGTACCTGATTAGAGGGATTCATTCTCTACCCTCTCTCTTCCTAGCAGAGAAAAGGATAGACCCTCTTCAGTGGATGACAGCCATATAAAGTCTCTATAATGTAATATGGAAGGTTTGCCATTCAGAAAAAAATGACTAGGCATTACATGACTGAAAATAATATAAAAAGATAAGAAAATTATGTGCATATAATTATATATATGTGTATGTATATGGTATTAAGCAGAAATTCTAAAGTGAAAAATGCAAAACTTGAAATTAAGATCTTAATACGTTTTGTTAAATATACCTTGGACAAGGTGGAAGACAGGACTAGTAAAGTGAAAGACAATTGATGCACATACCCAAATTGAACTACAAAGAGACAAAAAAGGATGGAAAATATGAAGAGTGAAAGAGATGTGTGGGACACAATGGTAAGGTCTAGTTTTTTTTTTTTCTTTCAGAGTTCTCAAAGATGAGGTGAGAAAGAATGAGGCCTCAGAATATTTGAAGAAACAATGATTAAGAATTTTCCATCTGATGAAAAATATTAAAGACCGAAGAAAGAGAAAATCTAGAAAGCAGCCAGAGAGAAAAAAGGGATACGTCATCTTCAAAAGAGAGACATTAAAACTTGACGGTTGACCTGTTAACAAAACCAGTGGAAGATAATGAAATGGCATCTTAAAGTCGAAAGAATATAACTGCCAATGTAACATTCTATATCCAGTGAAAACATCCTTTACAAATGGAAAATTTTCAAACAGATAACTATGAGAATCTGTTGTCAGCAGACCTGCACTAAAGCAATGTGCTCAGTCAGAATGAAATTGATCCCAGACAGAACACTGTACTTCAGGAAAGAGCAATGAGAAAGGTAAATATATGCGTGAATATAAATGACAATAATTGTCATGTTTTGCAGGGTTAAATTATATGTAGAAATAAATTCATTCCTACTATAGTGCCAAAGGCGGGGGTGGGGGGCGGGAGTGGTTAGAGGAGTTAGAGTGTTCTAAGGTTCGCTCATTATTAGGCAATGAAAGTGAAAGTTGCTCAGTCTTGTCCGAATACTGGAGTGGGTGGCCTTTTCCGTTTCCAGGGGACATTCCTGACCCAGGGATTGAACCTAGGTCTTCTGCATTGCAGGTGGATTCTTTACCAGCTGAGCTATCAGGGAAGCCCATTATTAGGCAAATGAAGTAATAACTTGTATGAGACTGTATTGAGGCAAAGAATGTGTTGTAATTTCTAGGGTGGTCATAATAATAGCAATGATCAAAGAATGCATGGACAACAAATTACTAGAGGGAGAAATAGAATAATAAAAATGTTTGACTAATCGACAAAGGAGGAAAAAACAGGTAGGTCAAATAAAAAAACAGAAAGATGGTATGTATAACCATATACTTAAATATATAGGGATCAAATAAGTGAGTAAAGACAAAGATTATTAAACTAGATAAAAGCCAAAATTCAAATACATTAGCTTTACAGAAGATCACCTTTTAAATACATGATGTAGATTGAAAGTGAAAGAATGGAAAACTTATACCATGGTAACACTAATCAAAGTAAATCTGATTTAGCTACACTGTTAGACAAAAATAGACTTTCAGGCAAGAAGCTTTACCAGAGATAAATAGGGATATTTTGAAAGAAGTCTTCCACTCAGGAAGATATTATAATTTTAAAGCAAAAATGGATGGAACTTGATAAATTTACAATCATGGGGGGGATTTCAACATACCTCTCAGCAGCTAGTTGACTAAGTAAACAAAAGTCACTTAGAATAATAGGATGATCCAACTTGACACACACACGCACATACTCAAAAACATTAGAAAACACATGCTTTTAAAGTACACATAGAGCATTTGCCAAAGTACATTAGCTTGATTATAAAGCAAGCTTCAATAGATTTCAAAGGATTGAAATTATTCAGAGTTATTTTCTCTGACCAGGTAAATCAGTAACAAAAAGATAGCTAGAAAATCTCCTGTCATATTTGCCAGGAGAAACCACAACCAAAACCCTGGTTTTATGTAACTTTCTCCCAACAGTGAGCAACCTGCACAGCTGAGCATTCCTGGAAAAAAAAAATACAACCCTCGTCACTGGTTTGACTTTAAATTTGCACTCCTCATCCTTAAGTGGACCTTCACCACTGCCCTGCGGTCCTATCACATTTCCCTGGTCAATTTAATCTCACATCCAACTTTCACCTCTTGCCTTAGACTTCCAGCCTTGGTGATAATTTTCCTTCTTATTTCAAAGGCAACCAGGAGAGGAGATCACCCAGCTACCACCAACTGTATCACCTATTTGCACCTGTGCCTGAATACTTCCTGTTTCTTCCTGCTCTGATGAGTGAACATGCTTTTTATCTTAGGCTGGTGTATCTGGTCATATGTCCTGGATTCCACTGCCTACTTCAGTGATGCAGAAGAAAGGGAAGAACTGCAGAAGTTTTCCCCATTAGCATACGAATGCTGGAATGTCATCTAGTCTAAAAGCTTCTTCAACATCCTCTGCCAGCTACCGCCTCATTTGTCTACTTTCACTCCCATTTCAGCAAAACCCCTCAAAATGGTTGTCTGTATTCACCATCTCTACTCCTTCTGATTCTGACTTGAACTCACCCCGCTCAGGCTTGCATTCTGCCATTATCGTCCTGTTTGTTCCTGCCAAGGTGATCCATGTGGTACGGAATCCAAGGTTAGTTCTCAGTCTTCATGAAAATACTTTCAGCACCCTTTGACACCATTGGCCACTAACTCTCCCTTAAAATACTCTTCTCTTGGCTTCTGGAAAACCACCCTCTCCTCATTTTCTCTTACCTTTCAGGTTACTGCTCCTTGATCTCCTCTGTTGGCTCTCTCACTCCTGATCTTTAAGTGTTGGAGTAATTCAGGGCTCCAACCGTGACCTCCTCTCTATCTATATGTCCCTCCATGACCTCCTCCAGGTCACTGATCTAGCGAGTTCACATGGTGATGATGCCCACGTTCACATCTCCAGCCCAGACCTCTCCTTTGACTCCAGACATATCTATGCAACCTATTACCTGACGTCTTTAAAGATACAGGCTTTATATATATAATAGCAGCTTAAACTTAACCTAAAGCTGAATCACTAGTTTCCCCCTATATCTGCTTCATCCCCCGCCTTGCTCAAAGCCTCTACCAGAGTGCATTACTTTCCTACTGCTGTAGCAACAGTAAAGTGACATAAATTTATTCCCCATAATTACAGTTCTTGAGGCCAGAAGTCCAAAATTAATTTCGCTGGCAGGAGAAATACATTTGCATGGTACTGCTCCCTCTAGAGGCTCTAGGGGAGAATGTTTTCCTTTTCTTTTCCGGCTGCCAGAATCCAAAAATTTGCATTCTTTGACTTACGGCCTTTTCCCTCCAATCTTAAAGCCAGCAGTGTAGCAAACCTGCTTTAGTCCTTAAACTGTCTCCTTCTTCTATGTTGTCACATCCTCTCTTTTACGAGGATACTTGTGCTTGCAGGTAGGGCTCACCCAGATAATTAAGGATAATTCCCTTTAAATTCCATTTAAAAATCCATACTTTGAACGAAATCTTTAGAATTTGTATGCAAACACAAAACACCCTGAATAGCCAAAGCAATCTTAAGGAAAATGGAGCTGGAGGAATCAGGGTCCCTGACTTTGGATTATGCTACAAAGCTATAAAACAGTATGCTACTGGCACAAAAACAGAAATATAGATGAATGGTCAGCTTAAAAAACCCCCAAAATAAACCCATGCACCTACTGTCATTTAATCTTTGACAAAGGAGAATATACAATGGAGAGAAGACAGTCTCTTCAATAAGTGGTGCTGGCAAAACCAGACAGTTACATGCAAAGGATTGAAATTAGAACATTCTTTAACACCATACACAAAAATAAACTCAAAATTTATTACAGACCCAAATGTATGATTGGATACCATAAAACTCTTAGAGGAAAACACAGAATACTCTGACGTGAATGGCAGCAAGCTCTTTTTTGATCCACCTCCTAGAGTAATGAAAATAAAAACAAACAAATGGGACGTAATTAAACTCAAAAGCTTTTGCACAGCAAAGGAAACCATGAAAAGACAACCCACAGAATGGGAGAAAATATTTACAAATAAAGCAACCAAGAAAGGATTAATCTAAAAAAATATACCAAGAGCTCATGCAGCTCAATAACAAACAAAAGCAACCCCAATCAAAAAATAGGCAGGAGACCTAAATAGACATTTCTTCAAAGAAGATGAATAGATGGCCAAGAAGCACATGAAAAGATCAACATCAGTAATTATTAGACAAATGCAAATCAAAACTACCGTGAGGTCTCACACTAGTCAGAATAGCCATCATCAATAAATCTACAAATAATGCTGAAGAGGGTGTGAAGAAAAGGGAACGTTCTTGCACCTTTGGTAGGGATGTAAACTGGTATAACCACCATGGAGAACAGTATGGAGTTTCCTTAAAAAACGAAATACAGAACTACCCTATGACCCAGCAATCCCACCCCTGAGCAAGTATCTGGAGAAAAGCATAATTTGAAAAGATACACACACCCAACATTCATTGTAGCATTACTTACAATAGCCAAGACACAGAAACAGCCTAAATGTCCAATATGTATGTATAATGGAATATTAGTCATAAAAAAGAATGAAATAATGCCATTTGCAGCAACATTGATGGACCTGGAGATTATTATACTAAGTAAGTCAGAGAAGGACAAATATGATATTGCTTATATGTGGAATCTAAAATAATAATGCAAATGAACTTGTTACAAAACAGAAATAGAATTCACAGATGTAGGAAACAAACTATGGTTACCAACAGGGAAAAGAGGGGTGGGGTAAACTGGGAGATTGGGATTTAAGAGTATTAACTATATATAAAATAGATAACTAATAAGACCCTACTGCATAGCACAGGCAACTCTGCTCAATATTCCGTAATGATCTCTATGGGAAAAGAATCTTAAAAAAAAAGTGGACATATCTGTATGTATAACTGATCCACTTTGCTGTACACCTAAACTCACACAACATTGTAAATCAACTATCGTCCAATAAAAAGTATTAAAAATCCTTAATCACACCTGGGAAATCCCTTTTGCCATAAAAGGTGACATTCTTTGGTTCTGGGGATGAGGGTGTAGATACCTTGGGAGCCATTATTCCACCCACCACACACAGTATATGGCATTACCATTCTACCATTGCTTAAATTATTATTGTTATTCCTTTCTTTCAAACCTTACATTCAAATGAGCAGAAAATCTTTTGGGCTCCACATTTAAAATATAGCAAGACTTTGAGAACTTCTTACTGCCTCCACTGCTGTCATCCTCTCTTGCCTGGATTATTTCAGTGACCACATCTCTGTTGTATCTTCCAATCTGACCAGCAGATCGACTCTTTAAAGATGTCAGATTATGTTACTCCCATGATTAAAAGACTTGAATGGTTTGCTATCTCACCGGCCTTAGTTTATCTCTGTCTTTGCCGCATCCCACTCTCCTCTGCCATGGTGGTGTTCCAAAGCTCCAATCTCACTTGGTGTTCAGATCTCAGATTCTGTTTACCTCCAGAGGGAGGGCCACTTAAAAACAGTCTTTCAGTTCCTCTGTCCCTTTCAACCTGTAAATAGCTCTTAGCATCTGTAGCTCCCTAAAATTCTAAATGATGGTCCCTTTCCCCAACTAGAATATAATTTCTGGGACCCGTTCATTCATGGCTATTTGTCCAAGCACCTAGACCAAAGTTTGGCACATAGTAGGCAATACATGCTTAATGAAAAATGCACATGAATCTTCTCTACATCCTTCCACTAGCCTGACCACCTCTCCTAGGAGCTGGGAAGTGTGCAGAGAACCAGAAGGATGTGGCAGGCTGTGCCCCAGAGCTGGAAGCTCCCCCCTCCCTCAGAGAGATGTACCTGAAGGACTTTCTGAGCCTGCACGTCGACCACGAGGACTCTGCTCATTGTGGGCTGGGCCACGTAGATGTAGCGGTGCCTGACGTTCACTGCTGATGCCCACTGGCAGGGCGGGGAGGCGTCCCCGTCCTTTTGAGGACATATTTCCTCCTGTAAAGGAGACAGGCTGCCATAAGTCTTCTTAATCCCCTGTTTCCCTGCCATCGCTGGGTTCCCCTCCCTTCACCCTCCCCTCTTCTTTTCTTCCTGTCTCAGAATTCTTTGCAACGGCAGCATCCGAGGGAGCACAGCACACACAGCTTCTAGCATCCCCGCGTGGAGCTTTTTTCTCCACGTTCTGTTCCTCTTTCATCTCCCTCTGTTCCTCCGGAGGCTGTAACCCCCTTTGCCGGCCTTTCGGTCAGCAGCTGAGAGGTCCGTGTGCTTCCACTCTTGAGAGGGCCTTCTCCCTCTCCTCACCCCCATCCATCGCACACAACTCTGTCAGTGACCAGACTCCTGCAGGAGTCACCTACACACACTCTCAGCTTCCTCACCTCTCACAGGCTCCTTAGTCTTTTGGTGATAGACCTCCGCACAGAGCAGGCGGTGTTCTCGCTGAACTCCCGGCCGACTTCTCAGTTATAGTCAAGCTTTGCCATCATCTTGTTTGAACTCGGGGCATCATCTGACACTGTGTGGACTGTCTCTTGGTTCTTTTCCCTCCACCCTCCCCAGTGTCTGACCCTTCTCTGTTGCTCAGTCTCCTGTTTGCTGATCTCTAGATGCCAGGATGCTCAGGGGTCACTACTGGATGACTTCTCTAAAACCTTTGCTAATCATTGTTAATCCACACCTATGACTTTAAATACAGTCTATGTGCTAACAACTCCCAGACTTGTATCTTTAGCTCAGCCCTCTTCTCTGAACTCCAGACTTAGCTACTTTCCTAAGTAGCTATTTTATTTACATCTCAAATTTGGCAGTCCAAAATCAACTCTCAGTTTTGCCCCCCAGTCTTGCTCATTTCCCTTGTTTTACTTCCTAGACAAAATCTTTGAGGGCATCTTTGACTCTGCTTTCTCTCTCTATACCCTCAGCCTTCATCCAATGAATAAAAGTCATTTCAATTTTACCTTCAAGAACATATTCAGAGTTAAACTTTCTGACAACTTCCACCTCTGTCACCTTGACTCAAGCCACACCTGTCCCTTGAGTGACTGCTGCAGCATCCACACTGTGCTCCTTGATTCCGCCCTGGCCTCGCCCGACAGATTCTTGACTCACCAACCACAGGGATCCCTGTGAAATACAAGTCAGCCCAATGCACTCCACCACACTAACACTCTTTCTTGCTCAGAACAGGGTCCCAGTCTTTCCTGAAGCCAACAAGGCCCTGAACACTCTGGTTCCTGGGATTCCTCTGACCTGACTCTAGTTTTTTTCCTCCGTTTCCCACCCATCCAGTGCACGCACATGCTGGCATCTTCGGTACTCATGCTGAACTCCTGCACCAGGGCCCATGCACTGGTCAACTGGTGTTCCAAGATGTCTACCTGGTTTATTTCATGTCCTTCAGGTGACATGTCCACCCACACATCACCTTCTTGAGATGCCCTCTCTAGCCTCACCAAGCTTAGCACCCTGGCACCCACCCTCCCTCACCTTGCTACACTTCTCATTTACTGCTTGACCTTCTTCATTTGTTTGTCTACCTACATTTAGTCTTTCCTTTTTCACTAGATCATAAACTCCTTGAGAGCAAGCTCTTTGTTGGGCTCACTGCTTTATTCTTAGCACCTAGTGAAGTGCCTGACACAGAACTGGTGCTTGAAATATATAATAACACAATGTAATATAAATAAAGAATAAATGAGAGAAAGGAGGACCTTCTTTTCCCTTGTCTTTTGTGATATACATTCTCATGTGTTTCCTCACGACTCTTGCCCAGTGCTGTCTCAAGCTTTGCGTCAGGCCCGGGCTCTGTGCCAGGTGCCCAACTCCAACCACTTACACGCACCCTTGGTGATCTTGTGTCCTGTCTTGGCTGTCATCAGTACTCACATGCTGAGGCTCCCAGATCTGTGTCTTTAGCTCAGAACCATCCTCCCCAGTTCTCACATGGGTTCTCCTACAGTCAGTTCATTCTCAACCGTCCATATGTGAGCTGGTCTTTGCCGCCATCCCTGCTCCTCCTCTAGGTCCTCATTGGCATCTAGGCAGCCGAGTCCAAAGCAGGAACACCATTCTGGATGCTTCCTTCTCCCACACAACTCACTGAATTAGTCCCTGAAGACTACAGAGATTGCCTCCTAAATCTCTATGTTCTAGCTCGAGCCCAGTTTCTTTCCTAAACAGCTGCAAAAGCTTTGAAGCAGGTCTTTCTCCTTTTACACTTCACACTCTGTCATCCTGTTTAATCCTTACATGCCTGTGTGCTAAGTTGCTTTAGTCATGTCTGACTCTGAAACCCTATGGGCGTAGCTGGCCAGGCTCCTCCGTCCATGGGATTCTCCAGGCTGGAGTGGGTCACCATGCCCTTCTTCAGGGAATCTTTCTGACCCAGGGATTGAACCCACGTCTCTTATGCCCTCTTTCATTGGCAGGTGGGTTCTTTCCCACTAGCGCCACCTGGGCAGCCCTCAATCCTCACAATAACCTTAATTTGCCTATGAGAAAAGACAGAGGCGTAGAGGGGTTAAACACTTTTCTTAAGCCACGTGGCCTGCTGAGTGACGGAGGTGGGCTCTAATATCACTTGTGCAGATCCTGCTCTACAGCCTGTGCCCTGACCTACTAACCCTGCAGCATCCTGCTGGGCAAAGTGGCCTCTCATCCAGCAGAGAGGCCAGAGATGAGACGCACCAACTGCCTGCTCACCCAGAACCTGAGAAAGAGGGTCAGCTCATTGTAACTCTCCTGGGAGGTTCTGGCCACTTTCTAGGTGAGCAAACTGTTATTTGGGACTGTTCCATAGCTCACAGATGTTTGAGTTGCCTGAAATGCCTACAGGACCTCTCTTACTGTGTATGTTACAGTTTCTTAGGAAAATTGAGCCCTGCTCAGGATTTGAGAGATTTCCCCTGCAAGCTACAGGTTAGGTTATTGCAAATATATGAGAAGTTAGTGCCAATGTGATGGGTTGCAATTATTCAAACCTAACTGCTAGAAATTAACTAGGACCACTCTTACTAGGGGGCTGGTGGTGGCTCAGTGGTAAAGAATTTGTTGCCTATGCAGGAGCCACGGGTTTGATCCCTGGGTCAGGAAGATCCCCTGGAGAAGGGAAGGGCAACCCATTCCAGTAGTCTTGCCTGGGGAATCCTATGGACAGAGGAGCCTGGCAGGCTACAGTCCATGGGATGCAAAGAGTTGGACATGACTTAGTGACTAAACAACAACTCTTTCTAGATGGTTTCATGGCTATCACGTGGAGGGAAAACTTATCAGAGGTTAACACTTTAAAACATGATTAATTCAAATGAAGTAGTCTGGAAAAGAGCTGTTCCCAAGCTGCAAATATAAGAAACACAACACTCTGAAATACACCACTGGCCAGCACAGCAATGCAACAAACTTGTTTTAGGAACTCGTCTGGGCCAAGCCCACTTGCTCTGTGAGCTCCAAGCCCATCACTGTGGCCCAGTGTATCCACTGTATATCTTTAAGTAGAGGGCTCATGGGGGCTCTTAGATGACTCTTGGATTAATGCCACACTTCTACCCTCAAGAAGCCAGGGATTAGCTAGGTCAGACCTCTAGTAAGAATCCACCAATGCAAGGCCAAGTGGGCCATCAGTGGAAGGGACGGAACCGAGGGGTGGGAGGCACAGCCCTGAGGATGCCTCCTGACAGCTGGGTCTGGGGGGCTGGAAGAGTTGTTTTGGCCCTGCTGCCTGCAGTCACCTCTTCTGCCTCTGCCCCCTGCATGTCACACTGCCACTTTCTACCCGGCCTCTGAATTGTCCACAGCAGCTGTGATGCTCAGGCCACTTGAATGTTTCATGCTCTCTCCTCTGTTCCCTGGGGACCACTGAGGGCTTCCAAAGCCCAAAAATCTACTAAATGTTTCCCATTCTCACCACCACTGGTTTAACCCAGGTCCCCATCCTCTCCTGGATAATCACAACAGCCTCTTCACCCATTTCTGTGCTTCGAGTGCAGCCCTTCTGATCACCACCCTCCGTGAAGCCCTGCACATGTTCCAAAGCACCTTACTGCTGGCCATCCTTCACTTGAAGTCCTTTGGTGCTTCCCCTTAGGACTCATCAGCCCTGACCCTTACCTACTGTTACCCTCAATCTTAGGCCTTTCTCACATCCATTTGTCCTCCAGGCATATAGAATATCTGTGGTTCCCTGAACATGACCTGATGTTTTATGTTCCTGTGCTCCACGTTCATGATGTTTCCTCTCGACACTCATCCCCAATTCCTACCAGTTCTTCACAACTGAGCCCAGGCATCACCTGCCCCCGGAGCCTTCTCTGACTTTGCCCCTGGAGACACTTCTCTCATTGTTGCCATGTACCTTACACATTCTTCTAGCAGCACCTGTTTGGAAGCTGTCCATTCATGCTACTGTCTCTGTCATTTGACTGTGAACTTGTGGAGGCCAGGAATCCATCTGTCTTCCTGGGGTCTCCCTTCAGGAGTTGTACATGCTAGTGGCCACTGGAGGAAGGCATCCGGAACCACATCATGTACAGCAAATGGAACTCAAGAAACCCAGTGGTACACATGGTGAAAGGCTGTTGTGTGATGTTGTTGGGGTGTTGTGTGTGATGTGGAGTGTCCCAGGTGCCAGACACTTACGTAGCTCATGAAGATCTTCTCCGTGGGCTTGAGGTGCCTCTGGATCTCACAGTCCACTGGGTGCAGGACGATTATGCCATCGTCGGAGAAGACGTAGAACATGTTTCCCACACTGAGGCCTGCGAGGAGCAAGCACAGCCATGGTTATGCCCTTCCTAGCAGCTGGTCCCCAGGCAGGCTCACAGGCCACGCTGGGCACAGATGAAACCGGCAGCCTGGCTGTGTCGGGTACAGACACAGAGTACAAGGTCTGGGCCAGGAGGGGCGAGGCAAGACGAGCAGGCAGTGCGTGCGGACCAAGTGACTGAGGGCTGTGAATCAACACGGACACCGAGGGCCCTCCAATCCCTGGGCTGTCTCCCCAGACATGCAGGCCTGCCCCAGGTCATCCACAGCTGGCCGTCAACACAAGTTTTCAAATAAAGGACAGCTCTGGCTGTGACATGCATTTGACTTTTCCTAAGGGCTTCCCTGGTAGCTCAGCTGGTAAAGAATCCGCCTGCAATGCAGGAGACCCTGGTTCGATTCCTGGGTTGGAAAGATCCCCTGGAGAAGGGAAAGTCCACCCAGTCCAGTACTCTTGGACTTCCCTTGTGGCTCAGCTAGCAAAGAATCCACCTGCAATGTGGGAGACCTGGGTTGGGAAGATGCCCTGGAGGAGGGCATGGCAGTCGACTTCAGTATTCTTGCCTGGAAAATTCCATGGGCATAGCGGCCTGGCGGGCTGCAGTCCATGGGGCCACAAAGAGTCAGACAAGACTGAGCAACTGAATGCACACACATCCTGAAAGGCAAAGTCTCCCTTGGTCCTTGTCAACTAGGCAAATCAGAATGGATCAGATGATGCCAAAAAAACAAAGGTTTTTTTTTTTTTCTTTTTTTTTTTAAACACGTTTATGTACAGTGCTGCCACTTGGAACTTGGGGACCTAAGGATGCTGGGGCTGGTATTCCTTTGTCCAAACCTGGCCTCTGTGCCAGTGAACATTTCCTTCAAGACAGTTTGCTCCAACCTCTGCCTTACCAGTTTCCCCATGGCAGCCCCATGCCAGGTGACAGAGCCCACAGCTGGGTCAGGCCAGCTGCCTGCCCCCCACCTCATCCTAGCCCAGGGCCATGGCTTTCTGGGGAGAATTTCCTTAGATCAGCAGAGTTGGGAACTTGAGGACCAGCTAGTTCAGCCTCCTTATTTTAAAGACAAAAACAAAACAAAACAAAAAACAGGCCCAAGATGAAGAGGGGCTTGGATGAGGCCACAGGCCCTTCTGACAGACCTGGAGCCTGCACCCTGGGCTCTGTCCCTTCGCCCTGTTCTCCATACAAGGTCAACATGGCACAGGGATGGGTAAGGCCTAGAGTTCTCCCTCTTCCTCCTCTCCCCCTTCCTCTCTCCCTTCATGGCTTTTGAAGGTAACACATTGAAAGGATTACCAGGAATTCTAAGAGAATTACCTAGTGAAAATTCTTTCCCAGCATGCTAAGAAAACCAGTGTACTGACTTAGTTGACTAATGGAGTAAGTTTTTAGTGAGAAAATGATAAAACAAGCAAATGGGAATCCCTGTTCTGCCTACTTTCAGTGGCTCTGCTGGTCACTTTCACCAGTGTCCACGGCTCCCAGTGTGGACAGGGGTCCCTGACCCCACAACACAGCCTCACCTGCCTCTGGTTCTGTGCTGAGATGAGGGCTCCTGCCACTGTAAACAGCTAGACCCCAGCCTCTTGGAAGCTGGGAGCGCCTGGGAGCACTCTGCATAGGTCCAGTGGGAATCCTGGGTGCTGGGCAGCCTCTCCCAAGAGCCAGACAAAGTGGGCCTGTGCCTCCCACACAGTGGCCAGTGTATGGAGCGGGGTAGGGAGCACACATTTGCTGTGACCCCAATCTATCTTGTCTCCAGCAAGACTTTCTCTTCTATACAGTCATTTGGCAAGCTCTTCTTGCTCAAACCTAGGGGCCAGAGGAGGTCGAAGTCCCTGCAAAACAACCACAGACTCCACAGCAGGCTCCCAAGTTTCTTAGAAAATCAGTGGCTGGAAGAACCAACGTGAGACTGAAAACTTCACAGAGCCCATGTGGGGTTGCAGCTGGACTGCAGGCTGAGCACCAAGCCTGTCACAGCGGACAGTGCAGTGTGACGCTATACAAGGCCTTGCTCCACAAGTAACTGACTTCACAAGAGAGCTGGCCTCACGAGTCAGACCCTGGAAGGTTCTGTCTGTGGTGAGCTTGACCAAGGGGCACAGGGGAACATTCTCTGCTATTGGGAGTCCATCATCTCACTGCTCCTATTCAGAGATGGGAGAGCCCTGCCAACCTCTCTGCTTTCTCCTGTATTCTCCAACTTCGGGTCCTTGAGTATGAGCAGGGAGGGGTGTGGGCAGACAGCTGTCCAGGTGTGATGGGGTCTGTTCACTGCTGGGTTGTCCAATATCAGCATAGCACCAGCCAGCCCTAAGGTCTGAGGCAGCTGTGGGTCTTAATTTGGCCTTTAGGCCTCCAGAGTTGCATTTAACACTTTCCAGGGTCTCCGGGGCTCTCTGCAGTTCTCCACTTTTGAGACTTGTAAATGCCCCTTAGAAAGCACTTTTTAAAGACACAGAGCCGAAGCTCTCTGCGTGCGCGGTGGCCTGGAAGCCAGGTTGAGGCATTGTCAAGGGACCACTGTCCTTGATTAGCAACTGTTGCTATGACTTTCCTTCTGAGGATTCCTAAAACCTACTGGCAACAATCCCTCATTTTCCAGGCTCTGCCTTTGTTTTGCTCCCAGACTGTGTGAGCATTAGTGCCTGACAGTCAGGAAATTACTCTGAGCGCTTGTATGCATGCGCATGCTAGACAGTAGGTAACAGCCTGTGAAGTTCTTAAGAAGAAACATGAGGAAATGTGCTGGTTTTCAAAACCGGAGAATTAGTGCTTAACCCTGGATCGCACGGTGCCTTCTGCTGGTGCTCATCCTCTCCCTCTGTCCACCAAGCTAGAGGACAAGGTACCTCAGGTGATTTGGAGTCTCTGGTGGAGGGGTTCAGAGGGAGAGTTGGGGGTCCATTGCAAATGCACCCAACACAGTGACTCAGGCTCTTTAACCCGGGGCCCACATGTGCTTGCTATTTTTTGAACCATATTACTAGACCACTTTTGATATACAAAAATGGAAATTTTGTTTTTTGCTTTCTTTGGTCTTGTGGCTTGTGGGATCTTAGTTCCTTGACCAGGGATTGAACCTGGGCCCCCAGCAGTAGAAGAATGGAGTCCTAACCACTGGACTGTCAGGCAATTCCCCCGAAATGGCAGTTTTGTATGGCCTGGCCTAATATCTAAAGATTGTTGGGTAGATACACATAGGTTTAAAAAACCTATTCATTTAGAAATATACATGCAAATGTATATTTACAGACATGATGGTAGCTTTTTTCTTTAGCATTTTCTCAAAGTAACACTAAACCCCAACACCAACATCAGTTGCTAGAAAATATTTTAAGGCCCAGTTCTGACCAGGATCCCTGCCAAGAAGTCTGCGTCAGTGGAGGTTTCAAAATAGCTTTAAATGGAAATTTTTGTTTTAAAAATTCTAATAGTCCAATGTCCATTAAAGACATCTGTGCTTGTGCATGCTCCGTCATGTCTGACTCTGTGACACCACAGACTGTAGCTCAATAGGCTCCTTTGTCCATGGATTTCTCCAGGCAAGAATACTGGAATGGGTTGCCATTTCCTACTCCAGGGGATCTTCCCAACCCAGGAATTGAATCCGCGTCTCTCATGTCTCCTGCACTGGCAGGTGAATTCCTTACCACTGTGCCACCTGGGAAGCCTATTAAAGACACTAGTAGGTTTAAACTTGCCTCAAATGTGCCACTTGAGTTGATGTGGACTTCCCCTCTGATTTGGCCTGTGGACCCCACTTGTAGGGATTGCTTGATGTTTGGAAAAACTATTGGTGGTGCATGGAAAGATGGCATATTATGGAGCCATGAACACATGTGATTATAGGCACAATAAAGAACAAATAAGCTTGGTACCTTCTTCTCGCCATAGAATGTTTGCAACTGCAGCATCAGAGAAATGAAGAAAGCAGGTACATGATTGAGGGAAGAAAAAAAAAGAAAAAGCAACGTCAGAACATTGTAGTGATTCAGTTCAAGAACACACTGTTACCTAGTTCATCACGTGTGGACTCTGCACCACTCACTGCCCCCCACAACACTGAGCAGGGGATGCTGGGCAGAGACAAATGCTTCCAGGGCTCAGGACTGTTTTGGTTCCCAATGAATCAGGTCCCAGGATCACAGAAGCTAATGGGATTCTCTCTTCTGTGGATGATAAACAGCAGGCAACATCCCGCAGACCTTCTGGACTACTTCCAGGAGCACGCTGGTTTTCTGCTAGGATTTTCCTTAGGAAGGTCATCTGCAATACTTTTTTGACTTTCTCCCTTGATGATAAAGACTCAGCTAAGGGTCTTTGATCATGGGAAAGAGACCATGTCTAACACTCATGTCCATGAAATTACTCCTGTAGATCCTACTGGGGAGCAGTGGCTTTGAGGAAGAGCCTGCTTAGCGCCCCAGGTGGGCAACAATCCCTGGAGTAAAAGCATGTGTGGGTAAATGTGCAGGCCAGTTCCTGGGCCATGGGAGGGCAGCAGCTGCTGGTAGGTGGTTAGTACGAGCAATTTTGTGGATGAAGGACAGAGCAAGTAGGAGGCAGAACTGGGGATAGGCTATGCAGGCTTCCTTGTGGCCTTGGGCTCTGTCTGCTGTCCAGAGACTTTCCCTGCCTACGTTTGCAGAGTTGTCTAGGTTTACAGGCAGTTTTCTCACCTCTGGCCACCCTCTGTCCCAGGATACATGGAAGGACATAAGGTTTACCCCTGTCTCCAGGGGTTCATGGTTGGTGGCTGTGGCCCCTGCAACCCAGTGTCTCCCAACCAGCTCAGTAAGGACCTCAAAGGCAAAAGTGGACTCACGGGTCTTTCTAGCTGAGTCTTCAATAAAGAGGGAGGAAATATCTTCATCCACACCGACTTCATTTTTGGCAATGCAGGTATAAGCCCCTGTGTCTTCATATCGAACACTGCCGATGTGGAGCTCGCTCCCATTGGCTGTAGAAAAGAACAGAGCTCAGGGTGGCCTGCTCAGCTGGGACCTCCCCACTGCCTTTCCCTCTCCTATTGAGAGTATTGAGGTTAAAAGTACAGCCTCTCAGCAGGGCTGAGAGCAGTCAGTACCCTGATGTATACTCAGGGCTGGAAGGGCTGGAACAGCGGAACTGAACTGCAGGTGACCTGGACCTAGCTGACAGCATCTCATCATTGTGCTCAGAAAGATCTGTGTGAGACCACAGAGCAGGAAAAGTAGGAGAGACATTTGTTTGCTCCCCATGTCTGACTTAGAAACAAATCACTCCTCTTATTCCCATTCCTAGAGAGAGTGTCAGCTTGAACTTGATGGCATTAATGGCACAGAGACATCAAGGGGGGCTCTTACCTAAAAGGGAGAGCTGTTTTGACATCTGGGTTGAGACATCCATGCCATTTTTTAGCCAAGTGATTCTGGGCATAGGAATGCCCTCTGCGTGACATCTCAGGCTGGCCGCCACCCCGGGCTCCTGTGCCTGGGTCTCTGGATAGACGCGGATGACGGGTGGCACTGTGGGCGAGAGTTCGTGCTGGTGAGAACAGGTCTTCACCTGCCTCGGGCCTGTGGTCCCACACTGAGACTCTGCCCAGAGGGCTGAACTGAGAGGCAACTCTGGATTTCTCTTTGTAACTAGTTTGCAAACATTCTGCAGCAACTCAGGCCCTAAAAGAAAGGGCTATAAAATGGATTGCAGGCAATAAACATGTCAGGCTTTGTACTCGGTAATTCATGGCGCTCATCATTATTCTAAATATGATCAGAAAGGCATCCAAATATTTAAGGCTGTTCAGCTGCTACACATAAAGAGCAACAACCGCCAAAATTTATTTCTGAATGAATAAAATTCAGATATATTATTTCTGTTATCGGAAAGCCATTGGACAGGGACTTAATTTCTTGCAGGAAGTGCTTCACAAAGCACTTATGGGCATTGACTGGCAGGGCTACTAATTACATCACTGCTCTAGGGAAGCCCATTGATTTTCCCATGGGTCATTTTATTTCTCTGCTTCTCACCCTCTGGAACATGGGTACAAGGCATATGTCCCCCGCTGTTGGTTCTTAACTCAGCTGTGGGCCCTGGCAGTCAAGTTCTGGACTGGGGATATGACCAGGCCTACTCATCAGATGAGCAGGGGTGGGCAGGGTGTCAGCACCCTCCCCACTCTGGCCTTTCTGGCATGGGCTATCTGTAGGGCAGGAAGGAGTGAGCATTGTCTGAGGGTCTTCCCTCCTACCCTGAGCTCTAGGCCCAGGAAATAAAATAATTACCATTTTCAGTGGGATTGTGGGCTCTTACTTATTCATATATTTTACTCTATATACTTCCAAAAAGGCTTTGTGAGGGCTCATATAATAGCATGGATATGAAACTAAGCAACAATAAAAACCACATCATATGTCTTTTGGAAAGGTGGGAGGATTCCTCCTGAAGTGAGCAGCGACATTTTCCCAGACTTATTTGGACACTCCTAAAGGCAACCCACTCCAGTATTCTTGTCTGGAGAATTCCATGGACAGAGCAGCCTGGTAGGCTACAACCCATGGGATCACCAAGAGTCGGACATGACTGAAGCGATTGAGCACATTGTCTGATAAAAGAAAGTGATTCAGTATGTTAGGAGAGAGATTTCCTCTGGGACTAGAGGTAGAACAAATTGATGTGCACATAGAAGGAAGTGATAAAGCTGATCCTAGAACCTGAAAATTTCTAGTGATCTGTGCTTGGATGGGCTGAGGACAAAAGAAAAATTCTATCCCCTCATCATGAGAAATGGATGCTGTAGCTCTTCAGGAAGCTGGTAATAATCTGATCAACTTAGTTTGAGTTTCAAGTCCTTCCTCTTTCCTTCCTTTTGGGGCAAAGTTTAAGGTCGAGAATAAAACCAAATGGATAGCTAGCAAAGGGCACAAACCCGCCTTCAGAGTGACCAGAGCTGTCTGCATAATATCAGCTTGGAGGTGCTAACCATGGAGACCAAACAACAATAAAGTCTGAGTTATTTCCTTGGCTTCTCTTTGTCTGCAGTCCTAGGGGAAGAGTCCCGGGAGGTGGGAGAAGGTCCCTGTCACAGGTCAGGCCACTGGGGATGGAAGACGTAAATGGGGCTCCACCTGGAGCGTACCTGGCGTACCTGGCGGGCTGCTTAGAACACAGAAGTGGATCTCCCTTCTCTGACTCCCCTTGGTTCAAAGAGCAAAGAAACAGTAATTTATCTAGGAAACCTCCTTATAACCTGAATTTTGTAAAGGGCGGAATGGGGTTCAAGTGGAAGAGTTAGTAGGGTTTTGCTCAAGAGGCTCAGAGATAGGGCTGGGGGCTCTAGGAGCACCGGCCTGGTGGGGAGTTGGATAAGGAGGTGGAGTCCCCTGGGTTCCAGAATGTGGGAGGCCAGGACTTGGGATTGAAAAACCTTGGTTCCTGCTGGATCACTATTTATACAAGCCTGCCAAGCAACCACAAGGAAGAATCAACAAAAATAGAATCAGAAAGGAATGAATCACCTTGCCAAAAAAGAGAGGAACTGATAAATCTGAGACCTGGCTTTTCATGAAAATCAATAAAATAGCCAAATTTCTGGCAAGGCTGGTTACTAAAAAAAAATAAAGAACACAGAGGAGGTTTAAAAGTATGGAAATACTCTGTTCAATTATAGGTAATAAATATCAAAATCTCAATGAGATGAGTCACTTAAAAGGAAACTTTAAAGTATTGACATGGAATCAAGAAGAAAACATCTAAAACATTTAAAAACACTACTTTCCAGTTATTCAATGAATACATTGTAGCAATCTGTTATACAATAAGGGCCTATAATCAGCATGTTATATTGTGCACTTAAACATTTATTAAGAGGGTACATCTCATGTTATGTGTTCTCACCACAAAACAAACAAACAAGAAATACAAAGGGACTCAAGGAAACTTGTGGAGGTGATGGGTATGTCTGTTACCTTGATTGTGGTGGTAGTATTATATGCGTGTACATGTCCAAAGTCATGAATTTGTATACATTAAACATCTGTATATAAATTATACCTCTATAAAGCTGTCTTTAAAAAAGCACTATTGATTAGTTTCATAGGGAAGCACCCTGATTAGTTTCATAAGGAAGTTCCTTTCAGGAATGGCTAATTCCTAGAGCATACCACAGAGAAGATGTACCAAGTTTTATCCTGAAGCTAGTATAACCTGGACACGGAAACCTGTTAAAGAGAGTACAATATAGACCACTACGAACCTAACTCACTCAGCACTAAATATAAGCAAATCAGGATTCCAGACAAGATGATGGAATAGAAGAACTTGCACACACCTCCTCTCACAAAAACATCAAAATCACAACTAATTGCTGAACTACCGTTGGGAAAAAAAAAGACTGGGACCTACCAAAAAAGATATTTTACATCCAAAGACAAAGAAGAAGCCATAAGGAGATGGTAGAAGGGGAGCTTTTGGGATATAATCAAATCCCATACCTGCCAGGTGGGTGACCAACAAACTAGAAAATAATTGTATCACAGAGGTTCTGCTGCATGAGTGAGAGCTCTGAGCTCCAGTCAGGTTTCCCAGCCTGAGGGTCTAGCACTGGGAGGAGGAGCCCCCAGAGTATTTGGCTTTGAAGGCTAGTGGGGACTGAGTGTAGGACTGGGAAAAACAGAGACTCTACTCTTGGAGGGTGCACACAAGATTTCACATGCACTAGGACCCAGCACAAAGCAGTGACTCCATAGGAGCCTGGGCCAGACATACCTGCAGGTCTTGGAGGGTCTCATGGGGAGGCAGAGGTTGCTGTGGCTCTCTGTGGAGGCAAGGATACTGACGGCGGAGGCTCCAGACAATACTGATCAGTGTGAGCTCTCCCGGAGGTCACAATGTTGGCAGTGAGACCTGGCCCACCCAACAGCCTGAAGGCTCCACTGCTGGGACAACTCAAGCCAAACAACAAGCAGAGTGGGGACACAGCACCACCCATCATCAGACAGGCTGCCTAAAGTTGAACTGAGCTTACAGTCACCTCTAAACACATGCCTTGACATGACTCTGCCCACTAGAGAGACAAGACACAGCACCATCCACTACTGGGTAGAACCAGTCCTCCTTACTAGGAAGCCTGCACAAGCCCCTGGGCCAACCTGACCCACCATAGAGCAGGCATTAGAAGCAAAAAGATCCTGCAACCTGTGGAAAGGAGACTACAAACACAAAAAGGTAAAATGAGACAGCAGAGAAATTTCTTCCAGACAAAGGAACAAGATAAAAACCAAGAAGAACAATTAAGTGAAATGCAGATAGGCAATCTACCTGAAAAAGAATTCAGAGTAATGATAGTAAAGATGATCCAAGATCTCAGAAACAGAATGGAGACACAGGCTAAGAAGATACAAGAAATGTTGAACAGAGACCTAGAGGAAGTAAAGAAAACACAAAGAGATGAAAAATACAATAACTGTAAAGAAAAATACACTAGAAGAGATCAATAGCAGAGTAAATGAGGCAGAAAAATGGATAAGTGAGCTGAAAGACAAAATGGTGGAAATCACTGTCATGGAAAAGAGTAAAAAAGAAAGAAAGAAACGAAATAAGGACAGTCTAAGAGACCTCTGGGACAACATTAAATGCCCTAAGAAAGACACTTGGCACAGCTGATGCCAGAAGAAAAAAAGTAAATGCACCAACATTCACATTATAGGGGTACCAGAAGGAGGGGAGAGAGAGAGAGTGAACCTGAGTAAATATTTGAAGAGATAATAGCTGAAAATATCCCTAAGGATTTGCCATAATATCCAACAGTCCCACTCCTGGGCATATATCTGGAGAAAACCATGATTCAAAGGGATACATTCACCCCAAAGTTCATTGCAGTGCTGTTTACAATAGCTAAGACATGGAAGCAACTTAAATATCTATTGACAGATGAAGAATATATAGTATAATTTATAAGCCATTATAAAGAATGATATAATGTCATTTGCTGCAACATGAATGGACACGGAGATTATCATACTAAGTGAAGTAAGTCAGACAGAGAAAGGTAAATATCATATGATACCACTGATATTCGGAATCTATAAAAATGATATAAATGAACTTATTTGCAAAACAGAAACAGACTCACAGACTTAGAAAATAAACATATGGTTAACAAAGTGGGAAGGTTGTGGGGAGGAATAAATTGAGAGTTTGAGATAGGACTATACACCGTATTATATTTAAAATAGGACCTATTAAAAAATGACTTACTGTATAACCCATGGAATTCTGCTCAATATTCTGTAATAACCTAAATGGGAAAAATTTTTGAAAAAGAATAGATACACGTATAACTGAATCACTTGGCTGTACACCTGAAACTAACAAACCTAACACTATTAATCAACTATATTCCAATATAAAGCAAAAATAAAAGATATTGATGGACCTAGAGATCATCATACTAAGAGAAGTAGTCAAAGACAAATGTCATATGATATCATTTATATGAGGCAAAAATGATACAAATGAACTT